GTCTGTTCTCGCCTAATTAATAACCTTCTATCAAATCCCCCTCCAAGATGTTGAACACGCGATGAGGAATCGGCGTCGGGACAAATTTTATTCTTCAATGCGAGATATTTCTTTTAAATATATGTAAATGTGTGTGAGATGCAAAGTGTAGATATTCTGCATTTTTTGTATTTTTTTCTAATAATAGATGCGTATCTTCGGACAAAGTCCGAGCGAAAAAATATACCTTCGGACAGGTTCGAAGGAATATTTTTCCTAAAGGAGATTATCGCTCGCTTTGGTCCAATCCGATTTTACGGGTGCATCCTTGAAAAGAGAAAAACGAGCGATTGGACCTTTGCAATTTTCGATCTTTTTTCGTGTAGACCAGACTGATCGTAGAACTCAGGATATTACTTCCAAAATCTAATTATGAGATCTTTATTGGCCTATCGTAAAATAGTCGAATAATAGAACAGTTCGTAATTCTCCTTGTGAATCCGTTAAGGTCATACATTCTGTTTCTCTCTCTCTGTGGTATAATAAATTTCATTGTATATATCTCTGAATATCTCCAATAAAAATCAAACGTCGAAAGAATTTCGAAGAATGCATCGGCAGAATTATTTTTTCAATGCCATTCCTATTTTCCTATGTTCCTAATTCTTCGTCTAATCTGTCGCTATTCCAAAGATACAAAAATGTATCATGATTTAAGATCGAATGAGAATAAAAAGATTTTTTTCTCAATTTTTTTAGCTGATAATTAAACACTTATAATAATACAATATATCTCGATAAAAAGGAATGACGGAGATTGATGCAAATTAATTGAAGTCACGGTGGAAATTGATTATTAATTTTTCATAATAATCCGCGCACGAATCGAAATTTTTTCCTACTTTTAATTTCAATTTTCAGTCTAACATTTTTGATATTTTAAACACAATTGGAATACTCTCTTTTGAGACTATTCTACGTATAATTTTATCGAGAGTTCTTTTTTAATTTTCTACATTTAATTAACTGTTCATTTACTATTTATTTGAAATAAAAAGTGAGAGTTCGACTCCTATATAAACAAATTTTTAAAGTCCATAAAAGTGAGAAAATTGAGATTGAAAGGAGGAAATTAGGTTGCATCCGCGAGATATATCGTAGGGTGCGTGCTTATAGTACAATCAAAAATGTAGAAATTAAAATGAAAATTCGAAATGACAAATTTCGCGAAACAAAGCTCCGCGATGAAGAACGCGCGCGCGATGCCCGTCGTTAGACGACAATGCGGCTTCGCCGCAAACGCCGGGGCCCGTCGTAATGAGATGTGACGTCACGACATGGCGTCTGCAGGTGAACGAGCAGCGAGAACCGTAGGTGAGCGCATTCGCTAGTCGATCCGATTGGCCGAAGGGGGAATCCCCGCCCTTGCGTTCGTGCACACCGCGAATCTCCCCCTCCGGACCCCTACCTTTACCTCTTTCGCGATTCCACGCGAGTCTCTATCTTTCTTTCCCTTTCGCCGCGCTTTCCTCTTTATCTCCGTTTCGCTCCCACACACGCGCGCATCCTCCGTTTCTTTTTTCCTAGCGACTCGCAGGCGAGAGCATCGTCGCGCCGCTGATAACGCACGTACACAAGTTCACAGAGCCTGTTTACACCTTTACTTCTATCTACATGATGTATATGTGTGTGTGTGTGTCGCGATACATTTCTCCCGGTGTTACTCTCTCTGGTTGCACCGAAATTATCAGCCGCTTACTCACTCGCACCCTCTCTCAGATATTCTCGACCACATACGTACGATTAGCACGTTTCCAAAGATTAGCGCGTTTATGTAAATTCACGCGAATCAAAATCGCGGGAAACAGATATGTATCTTCATTCTCATAGATATTAGTCTCGCGCATGAATTGGAGCTTTATAAATTTCTACTAGCACGCAAACCGGTAGATAATAATTTACGGTGGCAATTATACATTAAATATCCAGAAATGTAAAACGCGCATAAGTATTAGAAATGAAGGCCGTAAACTTTCATGAGGTACAAATTAAAGAAACGAAAATATGCAAAAACATTAAATACAATCATTTCGCATAGATAATCATCGAAAGAGCATCAAATATAGTCATTACTGCTAATGATCTAGAAAAATTTAATATGTTGCGTATGTACAGAATATAGAAGCTCTCCGCCGTCATCCATATTTACGTAATTACTTTTAGTTAATTATAGTATCCTATAATTATACTATAGTATAATTATAGAGTGTGGAAATCAACCGTGCGCGTTTTTTTCTGTATTAAATCCTAATTCAAAGTTACTAGATATGATAGAACTGCAACAAATTCGCGCCTGTGATTCTCCAAGAGATTTTCTGATCAATTTAAAGGCAATTTTTCTTAAAAAAAAATCGACTTTTTTTTGAAGTTGCAAAATGCTATGATATATATTTAATAAAAATGGATAGCACGACCCGATTAATTTTTGAATGCTCGTTAATGTCAGAAAAAGCATCACGATTCACGATGAAAATCGTAATAGATTCGCGTTCCTTCAGATTTCAAATTACTGCTATTAATATAGATTGCAGCAATTATTTACGCTCCGCGTGCATAAAATATTTAATGCTAGGTTCCGTTATTGCTCTGATTTTCCTTTCCTTCGAATTATGTGTAAGTAATTTTAAACATAGTTTCGAAATAAAATATCGAAAGTTTAAATTCTACTCATGAGATATTCTTACAATAAAATAAACAAGATGATACATATTTACGAATTTCTCGACAGCGTTAATATTGCCAATTTTGTCACAAATAATAGTAATTTCTATTTTCCCCGACATGTATTTTATTACATAGCTATTAATTTTTTTATAAGATATAATTTTTTTTATTTTCTTAGTTGATAAAAAATCGATATAAAAAAATTAAAGATATAAAGAAAAGTAGAATTATGAAATTTTAACATCAGATTTTTATATATAAAGTGTAACAGATGAAAAAGATTACGAAAATAATTTAATTAATAATAATTTAATAAAGCGCGTGTGTTGTCCTCTTCATATTTCTCTTTTCTTTCAAATTTTGATAAAAATCTTTTCATAAATACGTCGGAACGTGAGTTTTATGAGGACGAGAATAATCAAGGACGTAAAATATATTGATCTAAAATATTCCCCGAACGCGCGCGTGTTGAGAGATTGGCATTGTTTGTAAACTAATATCGCTCCAGTGACGCATGATATCGAACCGTTTTAATGTATTTCTATCGCGATCGTACTATCAGTAGTTATCCAGAATGTATTTATTCAATTCGTTGAAAGTCACATTTGTTTGCGCTGCCGGATTTGAAATTGAAATTTAATCGAGAAAATTATGAATTTGATATATGTATATTTGAATATATGTATGTATATACATATATACACTTTTGTTATCTAGGATTATAGATATTCTAAAAAATGTAATCTATATTAAATAGTAACCAAATCAATTATAGATTCCTAAAAAAACAGATTAGATTTTTAAAAATGCTACAATTATTAGGCATTTCACTTAAAAATGTTCACTTAAAAAATCTTCCTGAACTATCTAAGTCGAAATTTTTCTTCTATTTTCGAATTAAATATAATTTATCTTGATATTTTAATCAAATCAGTCTTTTAAAACTACTTAAGCTACAGGTTTTGTCGAAAGTTCCTCTTTTTATCTGAATGGAAAATTGTCCTTTTATTATTTATTTAAGATGTAAAATAAAGAAGAAAAAGAGAGAAAGAACTTTTATACATAAATTATATATAAAGTAAATTTATCTCAAAATCCTTTATACTTTATAAAGATTAGAGAAAAAATGAAATGAATGAGAATGAAAATAAAAGCAAAATTTCAACTCAGTTAAGGTGCCATATAGAGTGCTAATTGGTAGCATTTCGGTTGTTACGGCAACGCTAGTTTCTCGTTATTTCTCCTGACCCGCGTTATCTTCAACTGCTTCAGTCTCATAGTATTCAGCAATTTGCTGTTACAACAATACCATTACAGTGTCATGCTTACATAGCCATGCTGTTTCCAATTCCATTTTACGCCACTTTCAAGATATTTTTAACGAGAAAAGGATTTAATTTTGTTTTTACGTAATCTAAAATCTTGTAAATTCTCTCGATAATTTTCACGATCAGAATCAGGAAAAGATGAGGAGAAACTATGCGTTCATTATTGGCAAAAATATCAATAAATTAGATACACGATCGTCTTCTAATAGAATTTGATTGGATGCATTATACATATACAGAATCGAGACTAATACACATCAAAGGTTGTCGTACATAAATTTGCACAATAACATAAATAAATAAAATAATAAAATAATAAATATTACAATTATTTTTTTTTGTTATTCAATGCAATTAAATGCTAGTAATATTAATTAGTTAACTGTTATAGTTTTTACTTATATAATTATATAATTTTTATGTATATATATAATAAATAATTATACATAAAATATATAAATAATATATAATATATTAATTAGTTTATATTATTATTATCTGTTATAATTATCTGTTTTATTCTTTCTTATGCTATTGTAAATTCGCATGGTAACCTTTAATGTGCAATACTAGAGAACTATAATGCAACTAACGGAACATTATTAGAAATAATAACATGCAAAATATGCGTTTTTTTTAAAGTGATTGTTGTTAATTAGAAACATTATTCGACAAGAACGTTAAAGTAAACAAAACCGGGAACGTTAAAGCGACAAATATCGGGAATAAGAACGATTGATTCAACTTCTAACGGAACGATTGATATAGGTTTCTTCCTCAATTTAATTTGATTAATAATGACTCCAAATTTTAAGTAATTTAAAAATTTTCACACGTGAAATTTATAAACGCGTATATATGATGTATATAACAAATATAGAGCGTAAAAAATGAAACCATTGTTACGATTTTAAGAAAAACGCATAATACGATCGAGTATCTCATAAATAAAGCTGACAGAAAACTTACCAAGGATCCTTCCGGTGTCGGATGCTGTCCGTTGGCTCCGTGGGCTCCGTTGGCTCCGTTGGCTCCGTTGGCTCCGTTGGCTCCGTGGGTCCCATTGGTTCCGTTAGCGCCGTTGGCTCCGTTGGCTCCGTTGGCTCCGTTGGCTCCGTTGGTTCCGTTGGCTCCGTTGGCCATCCCTCCGGGATTCTCCACGTCTTGTTCGTCGGCTGAGTCCATCACGTAGGATGGCTTAGGATCACGCTTCACCCGAATTTTGGCTGTTTTCTTGCGACACAATTCACAAAACGAGCGTTGACGCGCTGAAGTCTTTGTAAATTTCTCGGATATACGATATATGCGCGATATATGCGATATATACGCTGGCGATATATATACGGATTTGATATTTAGATTCGAACCTAAATTCGAATCCGAGTGTCCCGCGTGAGCGAGATGTCGTTTTTCGCGTCACGAATTAAGTACCCGTCGGCAACTTCACGCCGGACGCTTCGCCAAAGATGGCAATATCAGCGAAGCAGATATCGCGAGCAAAACGATCGCGTCAAATCAATGAACATATATACCTTTGCGCAGTTTTGTCGCAATGGTTGTTCACTGTCTTTCTTTCTCTCTGTCTCTTGCGTCTCTCTCTCTCTGTGTTGTTGTTTCTCTTCACTCTCTTGAAAAACCGAGCGCGCGCGCAAACGATGACGCTGTTTTCGAAGAGTCGCGAGATGCGCGCACACACAACTTTTGCAAGATGCGAGACAAGGAGTAAAAAAAAGATGTAATATATTCGCTAACACACCGGGGATGAAACTCTCGAGGACTGTTGCAGAAGGTACGGATGAGAACGATGCGCACACACCGTAACGTCTTAAACAACTAACTCGGTAAACTGAATCGGAAGGAATGAGGAAGGACAGGGTAGGAGGGAAGGGACGGGGATTGAAATGATAGGCCAAGGTGGGAGAAATCACAAAGCCAATGGACGGGAGAGGGGATAATGGAGCGGGGGGGATGAGAGGGAGGGAGGGAGAAAGGGGATAGAGAAGCGATAGGCGTCAGGCGCGCCGTTATTGAAAAAATGATCGAGATGCGTGAAAATTAGCCGATCCCCGGCGTTTTTCCGCTCGTAGCGCGATCGCGGGCTCGCCGACCCGACATACGGCAGAAGAGTCGCGTCGTTAAGGCCGGCGATCAAGGACGCGACGTACCGAGGGGCGAACGACTCCCGGTGGGCGATCGCGAATCGAGGAGTCGAACCGGCGCGAACGAGAGCGAGAGGCTGCGAGAAACGTGCGCGCGCGCTCTCACGTACTACCGCGGTCTGAAGTCAGTGCCGACTATGATTCGCAATCCCTCCACGGCGCTCGCGTCTGCTCTCCCCTCCAGGCCGGGAAAAAAGAAACACAACATGCACATCACATAGAGGCGGATGCCGGCGACTCTGCGCGTGAGCAACTCTGGGTAGGGCGGCGGATAGTCACGCCCTCTGTGCGACACCTCCCATACGAATTATCCCTTTACCTCTACTTTTGCGCGCGGCTAATATTTTCTTCCGTTCTTTTCCTCTTCTCTTCTCTCTTCCCGCGCTTTTCTCGCGCGATACAATAGCGTCTAATTCTTCAGCGATCGAACGCGATTAGGCGAAAAACGTGTTATTATACGCGTCGTGTTATTATACGATGTCGTGGAACAACTATGGTATGTAAATTAATATTTGCGCAATCAAAATTCATTTATTTGTTATATAATATATATGCATTTTCTTTTAAGGACGGATTCCTCGAGTATTCCAAGATGAAAATTATGACGCGACAGTGTTGAGGTAATAGTTTTTAAATTATTGGCTATTATTATTAGATTAAAATTTTGCGAATCGCAGAGTTGAAGTTTCGCGCGCTCAAGGTGAAATGACACGTAGAACTAGAGGCCGGACCTCTTTACCGACAACGAGATTATCATATATAAATATGCAATATTTTTATTAAAAAAATTATTTCTGCATCTATATGAAATATGTTTGTACATTATATGCGCGTAATTAATATCGGAACATACCGCAAAATAACAATTCAATAGCGAGATGTTACGATATGTGTCAGATGTCAAAATAAATTCATATTTATTTACTCGTATGGTAAACATTTTTAGGGCTATATCGATAAATAAACGATTTTCTTTTATGTGAAAAGATTGAATATGTTTACAAAATTTAAAAGTATTTAAATATAGTTTGATTATAATCGCTTATAATTTGATTTTTATATCATCAATTTTTTTCAACATTAAAAAAAAATAATTATTAAAAATATACATGTCGATGATTTGATAGGAGTATATTAAAATTAAATAAATATGTATACATGATATATATTATAATTATTTGTACGTAATATACAAATAGACTTTGTATAGCAGCAGAAATTTTTTAATAAAAATATCATTGCATATTTATATTATAATCTTGATTGTATTATAATCTTGTTGAAGAGACTCCGTTTCATGATAACACTTTTAACATTTGTCATTTTATCGAAATTAAAAATATGCCTTTTATATGTACATCTTTCGAAAAACACAACAATTAAATAATAATTATAATAATATATAAAATCATATATTTTGATAAATTGTACACTAAAGTTTTTAAATTATATAATTTATTTATATGTATATTAAAACTACAATTTATTACATTATAATCCTTTTCTTATTTTTCTTATTTTTATTATCATTTAATTTTTTATCATATTATTATATTTTATTATATTATTATTTCTTTTATTTATCGTTATGATATATTAATTTTAAATTTTATTATTTCCGGCAAAACCAAAAAGTTTTCTACTAGAACATATTTTATTATGCAGCCTAACAAAGAAATTGAAAATGCATTGAAATAATTTACAAGGAATTAACAAAAAAATCAGCGGGATATTTTTATCTTAAATTAAAAAGAACAAGATTTGAAATGGATTTCTTAGGAGCGTGGTAATGTGGGATAATATAATACAATCCTGAATAATCCCGAAAAAAGGAAATTTATATAATAATAATATCAAGGAAAAGAATAATGTATAGTAAAAAACATTATCTGAAAAGAGAACGTTTTCTTTGGAAAACAATATTTCAAAATAATATTTGAAACTTGAATAAGCTCAAGATGATTTTAAATATGCAGGGATATAGAGAGTACGGTAAAAAGAAACAGAAAGGTTCTTCCTATTACAATTTTCGCAATAGTTATTAAGATATTAATTAAAAAGGACTATATAAATAGTGTGCATAAATAGAGTACATGTGGTTACGTGAGATGTACACTCTAGATATACTAACAAGTGTCATACACTGAAAAAAAGGATCAAATTATAATTGTATAATAAAAAAAAATTAGTTGAGATTTCTTTTTTTATAGTTATTAACACATAATGTTGATAATAATGATAACCTTGTAGTAATAATAACTTTAACTTTATAGCTGACGGTTAAAAATAACTATATTTATGATAATTATAACAATCTTTTTATCAGCACATGAAACGTTTGCAAAGGCAAACGTGTACTGATAAATTCTTGTTAATATTTCAATAATTATTATAAAAAATGCAAAATGATAAAGAATCTTTCTGTTTAATTTATTATATTACTCACTTATAAACGTTAGTATAAATCTTTATCAGAAATCCTGATATATCATTTAATTTGTCTCGCGATTATCAAGAAAGTACATTTAATAGAGCATACATTTAATTATTATCGAATTTAAATTATTGATTAAATTATGTATGAAATAATATAAGTATTATTTCCTCATTAAAAAGAATATTATATTTTTTTATATATCGTTAAGATTAAATCATAAACTTATAATTTAAGAGCGTTAAAGGTCACTGAAACTTTTATCCACATATAATGATATAAAATATGATTAAGGTTATATTATAAAGCAATATATAAACTATATATATATATATATATATATATATATATATATACATACTTACATACATACATATATATATATATATATATATATATATATATATTAATTTCATACATCAAAGTGGCGTGCGCGTAAAATCGTTTGTAAAGATTGTGCGGGTATCTGTATTATCTCGCGGTTGTATAGTTAATCATTGGTAAACAATTTTCTATGTTTACTTACTTGCACGCACATCTACCGTGTGTTTCTGGCAGAGTATCGGCGAAGATAACAATTGAAATCCGAGGAATAATGTCCCTTATTTTCGACATAAAATTACGGTACGAGATTACATGTGATTGGGGGTGTTTCAAACCGTTGTTAACTTGGGATACTCGATGATTATTTGCAGTGTACGCGCTATTGACGGACATTGTAGGAAGCTAATTCTTGCATTTCTTAACGCGTGTTGTATTTATAGAAGGTGCTGTAAATCTATGAAAGGTCTTTCTTCAAACAAACAATGAATTCTTTTTTAGCGCTTATTTGCGAATTAATCATCAATTTGAAAAAGAGGTGCTTTTATAAAAAGCGATAATTTTAAATTTTATTTTCATAATAATTGAAAAATTACTTATTGTTAGTATTATTTTGCGTGACAACTAGCAGTGGATATATGATAAAATTAAACTGGAAATAATCTAAATTATAAAATAAATATATATTTTTAAATTAATAAAATTAAATAGAAGATCTCATAACATAAACTCTATAAGAGAGAAATAAATAGAGCAAATATTAGTGAAATAATAAATAGCTGAAAATCTTAGCCATTGTTGTTTATTTTCCTTAAAAATGTGGAATATTACTTACGATTTATTTTCCTTAGAATTCAAAAATAAAAAATTTGGTTAAAAAATTAGAAAATTTGGTTCAAATAATAACAATTACTATGTAATAAACTTGGCAAATAAGAGCTATAGCGTGGTTTGAGCGCAAGAAAGAAACTTTTTTTCTAAACTTTTTTTATTAATATATATTTTTTAAAATATTCACTTTCGTTAAATATATACAAGTACGGACGGTCTAAATT